TAAAAAACGACTATTTAAATTACCAAAACAAATAATCAAGTTAAATATAGGAATATTTTTAATAGAATTACAAGTGTATAATTCAAAACTAACATAAAGAAAATAAACTACTATTGAAAACATAATTTAAATATATTATTACAATTATACTCGACGAGGTTTCATATCCTGAAACGTTTTTATAATAGACTCATTAGAAATAGTACGAAATACTTTTTTTTCTACATAAGGCACTATACAACTGTCTAAAAACTCATCATCCATTCGATTTTGCAAGTCATTTTTAGAGTATTTAAATCTATGCTTTATTTTTTAGAAGAATGTGACAACATCTCTAATTGATCTACCGTTGTTTCTTTATTTGGTTGACTTAGAGAAGTCAAACTTTTTTTGGTACTCTATTATAATAATTTCTTATGTGTATTGAAACTTGAAACTAAAATATTAAGTTGGTTATTTTTGTTATAAAATAAGAGAACGAGAAGAAAAAACAGAGAGAGAATTATTGAGATTCTATTCTTAATAATATTGTGATATAATTTGGGTAAATGAGTTTCCTATTTATAGAGAAAGGAAACCTTATTCCATAAGGGAAAAGTATTAAAATTTAAGGAAATCTTATTCCATAAGGAAAAGGTATTAAAATTTAAGGAAATAATTCTAATTGAAAAAAATCCACAAGAAAAAGTATTAAATTCAAGGAAATCTTATTCTACAAGGAAAATGTATTAAAATTTAAGAAAATAATTTAATTTTAATTGAAAAAAAATAGTTAGTAAAGGAGGGATTCGAACTTGTGTCTTGGAGACCTCATGATACTATTAACCACTAAGCTATTGAACTTTTATGTTAAAATTACGCATGTTTATTTACTTAATTGAATTCAAGAAGTCAAAATAATTACAGAAAAAGAATAAAACCCTGCGGGGAATCGAACCGGGACAAAAAGTAGGATTGCACAAACTATTGCCAACTCCACTGCGCATCACTTTGTTATTTTAGGGGGTCCAAATTCTATATATACCAATATAAAGTCAAAATTTTACGTGTATATATAGTATAATTTTTCGACAAAGGGTGTCCAATTGGACACCCTTGGAGCCTACGTGGCTCCGCCCCTGATGGAAACTATCTTATTGTATTAAAATTGATTAATTTTATTATTTTCATTCTTTCAACATGTGAAGGATTGGTTTTAGTGTTTCAAAATTATTTGGTTAAATTCAGACTCTTGTGTCTTATGTTTGAGTCAAGATTTATTCCTCAATAAAAAAGTATGAATTGAATGAAAATAATTTAAGCAAGGATAAACTTATTTTATTACTATTATAATATGATAATTTACTATACTGAAATCCTCGAGTTTTATTATTAACAAACAGTCTTAGATGAATTCAATATTTTACTTAATCAATATATTTGATTTTTTAGGAAGATTTGCAAATTCTTATATGCACATGCTACACCTTCTTCTTTCTCATTAAATTACCTATTCATTTCGTTTCTTCCCATTCCACAATTCAATTTTTTTTAAAAAGTATAATTTACATAAATCTCATAGTGTTAAGAGTTAATTATATTATTTCCCAACTCTTCTTCAAATTATAAAAATCCCTTAAAAATTATGAATTTTGGATATATCACTGGACTTTCGAAGACATCAGCAGACATCCAGATACATAGGGGAGAGATGTCCCCTATGTATCCGAGAGGGGATAGGGATGTATCAGAGAGGGGATAGGACATCCGGATACATAGGGGAGAGATGTATCTGAGAGGGGAGTGATGTATCATAGAGGAAAGAGATGTATCCGAGAGGGCGATATGGATGTATCAGCTAGATGGGAGTGATGTATTCGGAATAAGATTTTTGATTTTTTTTTTTGAAAATGGTAGGAAATTTTAGAGATTATGGTAAAATAAGACATGTATTTAGGTAATTTTTTCTTAAAAATCTGTCTATTTTATTTGCGGTGTCACAATACAACTGATTGCAGGCATTATTTTGTACAAGTTCGCCAGTAAATTTAGTCCAGAATAATGCAAAAGGATTAGTACATATTTTCCTTCTAATAATGTTTTATTAGTAAGTTGAAATCATATAATAAGGTGTAGCTAAACTTTCTTTCACAAGACAATGTGATGAAACCCAAAATATCTAAGTACGAACAGAGTACGAATTACTTAAAACATTGTTTAGTTTCAATACAACAAATGTCTCAATGAATCGAAGTAATGTAGATAGTTGGTCAATTAGCCGCTTAAAATTAAAACGGCATGTACATGTATAATATGCATATAATTGTGTATGATTTATATATATAATTAGAAAAAATAAATAATCAATTTGATCAATTATTTGTGAAGCATCCCAATGAAATTAGGGTATTATATTTAAAATTTTAACTTTTACTTTATTTTCAAGTAGTTAAAAATAAAAAATTACCACAAATTTATATTCATGCATAACACTATATTGATTTATTATCTCTACATGGTGGACAAGGCTCGTGGCTTAAGAATGGAGACGGTGTTATGACCTTCAAACTCGATAGGTCATTAGTATTTGTAGATCTTTAATTTTTGATAATAAATATAGTGTACATCATAAATAAAATATTTGATAATCGTGCGTAGCGCGATCGAGTTACCTGGTGAATATGATATGGGTCAATTTTATTTGATGTGCGTGTGCACTAAAAAGACCATATTGTGTTTGAATTGACTTAAAAGTTGGTCAAATCTACTTTTAAGTCAGTTTCTGGAAGTATTTGACAAATATAAAAATAACTTAAAATAAGTAAAAAAATACTTAAAATAAGTAAAAAATTACTTAAAATAAGTAAAAAAAATTACTTAAAATAAGTTAAAACCCAAAAGTAGGCATTCCCCTATTTTTTATTTTTTGACTTAAAAGTCATTTCAACTTGACTTTTTGTTTTTGACTTAAAAACTACTTTTTTTTAAGTCAATCCAAATGGGCTCTAAGTAACATTCATTTTCATATTTATTATAAAATATATATTGTCTAGGAGCGAAGAATTTAGTTATCCATTATCTAAATATTTTGTAATAGATTCACTGGTTCTCTATGCGATCACTATGGTACTTTAGTGTTGTTACGTAAGTGTAGTCAAAAGGAAATTTATGGATGATGCTTATTATTTTTCTACTAACCCTAAATTTATAAGGTATGATATGGCAAAAATTTGGTCCGAGTGTGATATATATTATTGTTCCATTTAATTATTTTTCAAAGGGAGAGGATATGATTCAACTTTGATCCAAATATTTGTGCATCAAGAGATTCAATCTTGGTGTATATTACTATTTGATATTGTACAATTGATGTTTGATTTTTTTTTGACTCTAGGTTATGTCTTGATCAACCTTGATGTAAATTTTGATGTCACTGTCTTGCCAGGATGCGCAGCCCTTGGTGCTAATGTCATGCCATGTGGCGCAAGCTTTGTTGCTCATGATTGAGGCCAGTTTTGGCTATGTTAATGCCAAAGCCTTCAGCTCATACACACTTGTTTTGATCGAATGATAGGATACTTATTAGCATAAATTTTTTAGTGTACCTATCGAGCATTTAACATTTTTAATCTTTCACATCATAGTATCAATTTAGGAAAATAAATCCTAAGTTGGTCCGTATTTTTTTAATTTTTAGTTTGCACTGTTTTATTTATTTCCATATCTAAAAATTATGTTTTGTTGGACTTGAGAAAAAAAATATGGAGTATTATAAAATAGATAAAAGTGTCATGTCTAATAGATTTGCTTTTATTAAAAAAGAAAAGATGTAAGGGAACGACATTTAGAAACTCATACTATAAAATAGAATTTTTCAAAAATTGCTATAGTTTGTGCCTTATTAACAAGGATCAATAGTTATAGTTTTGATATGTATCATCGCAACAACTGTTTGAGATGTTATGTAAAGATGTTAGGCAACTATATTCGTTATATTCATACAAATATTTATATTTAGATTTTTTTTGCTTGAGATTTGAGTTTATTTTAATTTTAAATTAAATTTTCCATTGTTTTCATCGTTCTTTATCCTTATTTCTTTCTCTCTTTTTCCTTAATTTTCAAGTTTGATTACTATATCATTAAAAATTTATATATTTCTAACAAAAGAAAGAGAATCAAGTGATCGTGATTTTTATTTTCCGAAGAACAAGATAACAATTGTTGTAATAAATAGATTTAAAGAAAAAAGAGAAGGAGATAATAACGGTGGCGATTTTCAAATTTGAAAAAATAACAATTAATACAGTTGTCATGACATTAATGACAATTATGGTGTGTGGTATAGAAAATAATAATAAAGAAAGTGAATTAAAATATTTATTTTTTTGAAATATAAATTGACCAATTTTAAACCTTCGCACACTGATTTTGAATGTATTGTCTCACCCTTGCTATATCAGCGAAAAATATTTAATAATACAAATTTTGAATAGTATAAATATATAAAGTATAATAAATATAAGGCTTAGTTGTTTAACTGAAAATTTGTCAATTTTTAATGTCTCCCGCTAGACTAAACTAATTTCTTGATTTTTTATGAATGAATTGGGCATCAATGTTTATACATAATAATAAATAGAGCCTTAGTTGAAGTGTGAAAAGTCACTCCAACTTTAGGTGTATCTCGAAGGAGTCGACTAGTTTTCTAGTGTTTATAATGAGTTGAATCTCCGTGTTTAATTGAGGTGTCTAACTGAAAAGTTGCGCCAATTAACTTTTGGTGTTTCATTATGTTTCCTACGATGTATAAATGAGTTGGGCCTCATTCAGTGAATCTATTGAAAGCCCAACCCATACTTAATGGCGGGAAAGTCGAAGTGAACCGAACAGGCGTGTCGTGTGCGTGTCCGGTAAGCTTCCAAATAGCCATAAAAAGTACTCAAACCTGAAAAACCTCCCGCCGTCTTCAACTGCTCGAGTACTCCTTTCACTACTGTACTCATTTTCCGGTATCGCCATTTCCAGTGGAGTGTAACTTCACTTCACTGAACCGCCATTGCTGTCTCCTCGCTTGTAACTGGTAACTGGTAACTGTTAACTTACTCTATCCGTCAATACAGATAAAAGATTCCTTTATTAGTTTCTGAATTTGAATTTTGACTTTTGTTGCGTGCACTTTTGTATTGTAGATAGATAGATAGATACTTGTGTTTAGATTGTGATTTTTTTTTTGTTTTTGGCTCATTTTGGTTTCATTAACTTCAGAGGATTAATAGATAATGACGCTATTGAGGTCTCGTGAGGTGACTCCGGCGGCATCTAAGGCTAAAGTTTCTTCTAAAACCCTAGAAAATCATGTATTGGAACCGGTAACTCCGTTGAAATCTCTTGAGACTTCTGTTCAGCCTTTATGTGTTGTGACTCCTACTTCTCCTTCTTTGGCTAGTGGTGACATTCCTCCTGTTGCTAGAAGGAGGAGTTTGAGATTGGCTTCTAAAAATGGTTTGAGTGATGTTGGTGAAATTTTGAATAATGAAGGGAAGAGTAGGGATTTTGAAATTGATAATGGGGATACTGGCAATAGTTTGAAGAGTGACGTTGGTGTAGAAAGTGCGGATTTGGATGAAGGTGATCAAGATTTGGGGGTTTTATATAATGAAGCAGTTGATGAAATAGGTATGAATGAATCTGATGATATAGGAAATTTAGTCTGCAGTGAGGGAAGAATTGAATGTGTTAAAGAGGGGAAAGGGGATAAAAATACAAGTATGGAAGTGCAGGGTGAAGGGAATACTAAGTTTTTGAGTTTGCGGTCGGGCAAGAAGATCTCTAAGAGAGCTGTTGAAGAATGCAGTGGTGGCGTTGTTGGTGATACTGGAAGTGTTAATCAGAATGATTGTGATGAGAAGTTGTCTCATGGAAAGCTAAGTGAAGGAATGTCAAACAGTTGCAGTTCAGATGGCTCCAGCAATAAGTTACAGACAAGTTCAGTTGAGCCTTCTAGTGTTAAGAGGAGGAGATTCAGCAGAGAAGAGAAATCTAAAGGTATAGTTTCTGAACAGGGTTTGCCAGTGGTTCATTCAGTGAATTTGGAATCAGAGGTAGCATTTGGGATGTCAATTGAGAACACAGTACCTCAGTCTGCCTGTTTGCCCGAAACTATAGATCTGGCTGTTCAGGGTGATGGACTAGCTGCCACTTTGCAAAATCGTGATTCAAAGACAAGAAGGATTAGTAGAGAGGAAAAGGGAAAACAAGTTATGGCTGGCGATGATTTGTGTCATGGTGTTGATACATTGGAAGGAAAATCCAAGCATGGGGCAGATAAACTCATTGATGAAATTATATCAAGAGCTATTAATTTGACAAGTCAAGATGGAGAGCAAGTTGCAGATGCCGATGGCAGTGCAACTGCTACAAGAAGAGTTCATAGAGAAAGGTTTAGGGATATTGCTAGACGAAATGCTTCCAGGTTTGCTCATTTCTCTTCCCAAGCAGAACAGGAGACCGATGTAGCTGATGAGGCTGCTGAGGAATTTCCACAGGAGGTAGCGGAGACTGAAGAAATAGAAGACTGGCCTGGTCCTTTTTCAACTGCTATGAAGATTATTAGAGATCGTGAAATGAACATCAAGCATCAGCAGCAGAGTAAATCTGAGAAAAGTAAGATTGAAGTGGTATGGGTTCCCAAAACGGACCAGCAGTGCCAATCTAGAAAGCTGGTTGTTCCCTCATTACATGACTTATGCATGGACATTTTAGTGAAGAATGCTGATGCAATCACTTCACTTGATGGCTTACCTGATGCACTTAGGCACAAGATTTGCCAGTCACTGTGTGACTCTCGGGAAATGACATATCAATTTTTTCAACTTCTTGTCAGTGGATCTCCTACAGAGATACGCATAAGGGATTGTTCATGGTTGAATGAGGAGAATTTCACACAGAGCTTTAAAGGATGTGACACCAACAACTTTGAGAGCTTTAAAGGATGCGACACCAACAACTTGGTGGTGAGTTTTAATTTATTCTTTTTTACTTTTGCTATGGTTGATTGGAGTAAAAAAAGGAATTGTTGGAGGAGTAAGTAAAAGCTAGAGTGTATGTGTTCCTCATCGTTTGGTTAGGAAATTTTCGGTTGGTTAGGAAATTTTAGAAAACATGAAGTAAAAGTGGATGGGTTGCATTACTCTGCATCATCATTCTCAATCTCTCCAAAGCTGGATGAAAGTGATGAAGTATATTACAATCATACCAAATGATTGGAAGTAAATCATCAATACTTAACATAGGGAAGTAGATTGTTGGTTTCTCTTTTCTTCCTCTTCACCTCTCATTCAAAGAACCAAACATAGTTTTGATCTTTATGAATACTACTTTTTAGTATTATTCATCTAGTCAGTCTCCACAGTCAAAGTTTGCTTGCATATGTAGTAATAGTTCAATGATGTGTTAGTTCTGATACGTGAACTTCAAAATGTTTTCTTTGTGGAGCCAGGTGCTTCAACTGGATCAGTGTGGTCGCTGTATGCCAGATTATATCCTATTGGTTACATTAGCTCGTCGTCCAAACAATCTCCCTGCATTGACGACCTTATCCTTGAAAGGTGCGTGTCGTCTTTCGGATGTTGGGCTGGAGGCGATCATCTCTGCAGCACCTAATTTAAGGTCAATGAATCTTAGCCAGTGCTCTTTGCTGACATGTGATGGAATTAGCTGTTTATCTAATTCATTGGGATCAGTTCTGAGAGAGTTATATCTAGACAATTGCGAAGCAATACATCCCATGCTTATTCTGCCAGCATTGCTAAAGCTAGAACATTTGGAAGTTCTATCAGTAGCTGGAATCCAGACTGTGTGTGATGCTTTTATTAAAGAATTTGTCACTAATCGAGGTCAGAGTCTGAGAGAGATTATTCTGAAAGGATGCATGTAAGTGGTTTTCGTCATGTTTCAAGCGATGCTCCACTGAGAAATTTGATTGATACTGATTGTCTTTGTGCCTTGAATCTGACACAGGGAATTGACTGATCGTTCTCTGAAAGATATTTCACAAAACTGTCCCGGATTGCGTGCTATAGACCTGAGCGACTTGTGTAAATTGACCGACTCTGCAATTGAACATCTTGCCACTGGTTGTAGAGAAGTTGACAATCTAAAACTCTGTCGCAATCCATTCAGGTTTCCAAAATATAGCAATTGACCAGATAATATTTTTCTAAGTGTAGCATATGCGGTGTCTTTAGCCGTGATCTTTTGCTTGCAGTCTTTATCATCATTTTGTGTAGCGCTTTATTCTTTTCTTGAATGCCAATTGCTTACGTCTTGAGACCAATTTGTCAAAAAATATCAATGTTCTTGGTTTTAGATTTATTTCACAGGTACTTCATGCTTGAAGGCTTAGAATAGATGCTACATATAGGTGTTCTCAGTAGGCATTCTTTGTTTCAAGCTATATATAGGATTTTCACAGTATGCATTCTTCAAAATATGAAAAAAGAACTATCTTTTTGATAGTATGTTCTGCATTCCTTGAATTCATTAATAGAAAAATGGAAGTGGCATAAGCTTATTCTTATCTTTACTAATGGCAGTGATGAAGCTGTTGCTGCTTATGTGGAAACTAGTGGGGGATCTTTGAAGGAACTATCTCTCAATCGTGTCAAAAAGGTACTTGACAGCATGCAATGTTCATTGCCTCTCTTATTTTGTTTGTGTGGACATGGGAAAATGTGTTATGGGTTCTGATTGTGTACTTCTCTTTGCTGAATTTAGTTGATCAAGCCAGCAAAAATCTGCTTAGATCAATATTTTAATTAATTGAGAGAGAGATTCTAATGATTTAGTATCCAGTTTTGATTTTTAAGTATTGTTTGTTACACAAGTAAGGTTACCCAGTTATTTTGAACTTGTTGATTTACGGTATGTTGTGAACTTCACTTAGATATAACAACTATTCAAATATATTCTGAGAGCAACTTTTGGTGTAATAGGAAGCCTGACAATGTAGTGGAATTAAATACTCCCTACAGTCCGAAGGGACAAAATTCCACTCACGTTTGTGGTGATCTACCACTTTCTTGGTGCCACACTGTTTGTAAAATCAACATTAACTTATAAAACAAATATATATTTTGAGAGAACTAGCAAATGGAACCTTGGGTTTTAATCCGAACCAGCAAATTTTCCTTTTTATTTGTAGACCGTAGTTTTCCTCTTCCACTTTTTCCTGGGTACCTGGAATTTGCTAATCCAAAAGGTCCATGAATTATTGCCAAGACTAAAAGTCGAGGATCTTAGTTTTCAACGTCTTTATATGGTTTTTACAGGTTTCACACAACACTGCTATGTCTCTAGTCAAATGTTCAAAAAATTTGATTAGTCTGGATTTGTCTTGGTGTCGTAACTTGACGAACGAAGCCCTGGGATTGATTGTTGATAGCTGCTTATCGTTGGAAGTACTAAAATTGTTTGGCTGTTCTCAGGTATGCCTCTGTTTACTTTGGTAAATGAGAAACTTATTTTGCTCATCTCCCTAGAGTTTGCATGATCATTCAAAGAAACAGTAATGTCCTACATAGTTTCCTGTACCTCGACTGACAGCAGGGAGTGTTGAAAGGCACATGCTCGTATCACAGAGTCAGACAAATGATAACTTTCTCAAATATGTAGAATAATAGGAATTCCTTGTGCTTGTACAATTTTTACTTTGTGTTTTTGTAACCTTGAGTCCTATATACCCTCTAGTTTACTATTCTGTCAACTGAAAGAAAATAGGTCATTTAATTGAGGTTCATACATCTTAAGATTTCATTTGAACTGGCTCGGCTTTGGTCTAGTGGGAAGAGTGCAACACATGATGTGTGTATTAGGCGCACATTACTTGTCTGAACCTTGGCGTCGACAAATACTTGGTATTTAAGTGGAGAATGGTAGAGGGGCTGTCCCATTAATGACAAAGTTTCAAACTGCGCACACAGCCTTTGTATATCTCGGTTCAAAAATCAAGGTTTCTTATGATCTGAAGAAAGGATCACAAGATTTTGCTTCTATGCCCCAGATTGATCAGAAAAATTTGGAGAATAAAATCTAATGGTTGTGAAATATCCAAAATGCTTATGCTTTTGAGGTTGCTAAAAAACAGTCTAGCTGATTCCATATTTTCTTCTATCTTGTGGTCCACTGCTTATCATCACTGTTGCTGTGTAAACTTTGAATTCCTCAAAGGGAAGTGTGCTTGCTGGTACATCAAAGTATGCAATTCCCGACCCGCCCCTATTGGTTGCTACTATTTTTTTGGTGTGTGTGCATTTGTTATGAATCTTTAGGGAAGGCTCGATTCACAGGGCAATATATAAATTCAGCTCGTTAAAGGGAGACTGTAATCTTAGAGTTCAATGGAAGAGAAGGAAGCTGAAACCTTAGAGTTTAATGGAAGAGAGAACTATGATCTCTTGCTTTTTGCTGAAATATGACTTAATGATTTATTCATTAGAAACTCCTTTAAATAGGAGTCTTATTACATCAATAGAAAGTCTAATCCTTGTGAAAATAGGAAAACCTAAATCCTATTCCAAACTAATACTAACTATAGCTTAACGTATCCTTATGAAGCTTTGAAACATAAATCATATTCTAGAATAATAAATAAAGCTACTTAAAAATATAATTAATTACTCAATTAATTGACTTCACCACATCCACAACAACATTTGATTGGGTGAGTAGGGATGACATTTGTTGGGGTGCTTGGTTATTTGGTTGGTGAGTACTATCAATTTTTATTTTATTTTTTTGTGGTGGGCATTGGGGTTGGCAAAGAGATGGATCAAGATGGTTGCATTCTTGGTAAATATCAACCTTGAATCTTGAAACTTTGTTCTTATGCAACTGTCAAGGTAGGGTTAGGATCTCTGCATGACCTTTCCTACTATCATTGAAAGATGATGGATCCAACTTCATCAGATTCAGATGTCCTTAGATATTGCCAATACAAGATTTTCTCAAGAGAAAATGGTATCTATTGGTGGCAAGCAGGTAGCAATGGACACCCTTTTGCAGGAAAATTACAGTGTAGATAGGTAAAACAAATAATTATGTATATATACTATAAGTGGAATCTTCTTGTGCTAGTTTTGATTCCACTTGGTGAAAATCCGGACTCTGCCATAGGTGGTACGATTCATGAGCTATAGTTCTATAATACTCTCTTTTTTTAAGAGAAGAATCAGTTCTGATATTTTGTTTGATGCCATTTGTTTCTTCTGTGCCACAGTTCTTCTAGTCCTTTTACTTCTGATAGTTTTGACTCTATAATTGTTACTAGTGCATTTCCCTTTGCATAGAATCCCTTTTAACATGTTGGAGTTTGCAAATAACTTTGGCATGTGCAATATATATGCAGGTTACTAGTGTTTTTCTGGATGGGCACTCAAATCCCCAAGTTAAGATCATTGGATTGAAGATGACTCCGATACTACAGCACATTGAGGCACCAGATTCTCTGCAGCAGGGGCCGCTACGATATTCAGCAGTGCCATGGCACTCTGACAGATGATTTTATTGGAAATATTAAAAATGGAGTTAGTATCCTCTGTGAATGCCAGAAGTCATAATCTCTCTTTGAAACTATGCTAGATAAGCTTTTGTGGTAATGCTATGTCAAATGAAAACTTCCCATGCTCATGGAGACTGGAGAATAGTTTCCCATATCTCAACATTATTTTGTATTGATTTGTGAACTATCATGTTCTTGGAGTCGGAATTGGATGACTATACGGTTCTAACCTACTAGATATTACTTGTATAACTTACTTCCAAATCAATTACCAAACGATCTTGAGCAATAAAAACTCTTATTATGCACCTTAATGTTACATGATACGGAAGAACATCCCAGCCAAAAAAATAAAATAATAAAGCGTTGGGTTAGCTGTTTCAGATTGTACGAAGAACGGTATCATTAATTCTTGTTGTACTAAAGTTATTAAACTGCACTTACTTTAAAAATTGGTCTCCTCTTATATAACATGAATACTTGTAGCTCAAGGGTTTTAAATTTATAAATAAAATTTGAAATAGTGTGTAATTTTTAGGAAGTGTAAAGTTCTGAAAACAAATTTCTGAACACACCATAAGTTACAAAATGAGTGGTAGTAATAATACTTCAATTTATTAAGTCATAATTAATTAATATGTTGACTGTAAAAAAAAAAAGAAAAAAAAAAGAGAGAATATCTCAAAGTAAAACGCTGTCAGAAGAAGAGTGTTGTATGGTTAAGAAAAAAGGAAACGCCGTTGCCGGGGATCGAACCCGGGTCACCCGCGTGACAAGCGGGAATACTTACCACTATACTACAACGACTTGCTTGTCTTACAATTATTGATCACGTTATTTAATAACATTACAAGAATTTGGTCATGTTCGAATATATTTTTTATTTTTTTTACTTAAGTCGAATAACCACATTACTTGACAGTTTATACTTTATATTTATTTATAGATTAAAAGAAAATTGGTGCTTATGAGCAAAATGATTCTGATATATCACTACAATAAAGATATTTATTTCATAGAGTGCTAGATCAAGAGGTAGAGTTCCATTAATATTACAATGAATTACCTGGGGCACTTGAAACATGATCTTGACAAAACCAAAGATTTGGAATGCTATGTTCCAATCACTAATACACTTATTTTTTTTTATATGTATGCAAAATGTGGGAATTTGGAATTGGCTAGACATGTTTTTCATAGATTGCCCTAATAAATAAAAGGGTACCATTTCTGATATGTACTGCTTTCGGCATGATGGTAATTGATTGATTACTAAAAAGTTTCATAATAAGCATACTATTTTAGTATCTCTGAAACCACAGAAAGTAAATAATTCTGAATGTATTAGAGACTGGAATTTGATCAAATGGAACACATTTTACATCAAAGATAAAAAGAAGTTGTAACAAGGTTTTACACTAATAAAACACAACCACAAAAATCCCAAATATAGCCACCTAGTAGTGACTAAGAAATTCATATTTAGCCTTCAAAATCATTTTTGACCCACTGTCCATATTTATTCTTAATCTTATCATCAAACTCCTTATCTTTCATTTCGCATATCTTATTTGCATTTTCCATACACTCTTGTTGAACCTTAGCAATCCTTTGATTCCTCTTCCTTGACCATGCTTCTCTCTCTGCTTCAACACTTTCATAATCTCTCACCCAACAACTCTGCACAGCACAAGTCACAACCAACACTCCTAATTGCATCACAAACATAGACATCAAAACCCCACATTCCAATCTCACTAAAACCTTTGCTTCTCTAGGATCCCTTGGTGATTTCAACATCAAAAGACTCGATTTTTCCTTAGTGAACAAGGCTAAAATGCCAAGTAATTGACCGATACACGATGCCATGAGGAGGGAGAGGTGAGTTATGAAACAACAATGAGTTAGTTGAGAGTAGAAACCAATAAAACATGAAAGAAGTGAAATGGAAGAGACTATGAGGAATGACCAACCAAGTGAAGTTGGCGGAGTTTTGAGGAAAACAATGGGAGCTATAGACGCCGCGGAGAGAATAAAGAGGATGAAATTAAGAAAGGAAAGTAGAAGAATTGGAAAGGAACAAGAATGCCTTAGCTTTGAAGAAGTCATTTTTTTTTAATTTTACTTGAATTATATGATAATTTTAACAAGTTGTTTATCTACTATATATATATATATGGAGTATGAATATGGCCGTTGAGGCTAGCTAGGGGATATGTGAATTAACGGCTAAATTTGACAATGAGTTTCCCTCCTTTGGGTTTTGAAAGATTTACTAACATTTTGTGGCTTTTAATGACAATGTCGTTTTAATCAATGGGCCCTTGAGATGTTCAAACTTTCATTCAATTACTACTAATGATGAAAAGGGCCGTTTGCTTCATGTGACTTGAAATAATGATATGAAATTATGTGAGAAGTTTGAAGTTTTTTTTGGGATATGTAATTTGAATTTTTAAGATGAATTTTTGTTCATGAACATAAAAGCACATGAATTGTGTAAACTATCATAATTGCACCAACTTTTTTATACAATCTAACCAAATAAGCAAATGTTTATTATTCCAACTTTAGTTAAATTAAAAGGTAATGCTAAATGGCATTGGCCAGAAATTTAAAAAGTGTATAGTATTTTTTTAATTTTAATATAAAATATATTTTTTTTTATTTTTTTATTAAAAGGTATTAAAGTTAAAAAAGTAAAATAACATAGGTAAAATACCTATGTTGTTTATTATTCCAACTTTAGTTAAATTAAAAGGTAATGCTAAATGGCCTTGGCCAGAAATTTAAAAAGTGTATAATATTTTTTTAATTTTAATATAAAATATATATTTTTTCATTTTTTTATTAAAAGGTATTAAAGTTAAAAAGGTAAAATAACATAGGTAAAATACCATTTTGGCCAAAAGAATTTTTCCTAAATTAAAAAGTAAAATTGAACATGAGTTGTAGTGTATTACTCTTTAATAAAATTGAACATGGTCAATACCATTAGTAACTATATCATTGTGTTCATATTCAGTAAATATTTCATCGCTCCTTTGTTATTCTCGTAAATAAAAAAATTATGTAGATATAAAATGGTGGGTTTTTTTAAAAATAAATATAAACTTATGAGTCAATTTTTGTATCTAAAAAACATGAAATTTCTAAATCAAACTTTTTGAAGAATTTGAGATTTCATTCAAAACATGAGAAATTCAAACATTGATTTCATTTTTTCTCATGATTTCAAATCACGAGATGAAATCGCGTGTCCAAACACCAATTTTATCTCGTAATTTCATATCGCGAGATAAAATAACATGTCGAAACGCTTACTAAGCATCACCATGGTCTTGGAGGTTGGTGCTTATTTCTCATAGAATAAGAAATATATTGAAAATAGAGCGGATACATGGACAATCACCTTAAATTGCAACTAAATTTTATTTAGATACACGAACTATAAAAATATTAAATAAGAATATTTTATCACGTGTTTAGGTTGTCAACTAAAATAATGAGTAATTCAAATTTCTAAATAAGTTTAGTAAAGTTTAAAAGTTGTTAATATATTATCACTTGCGTTTACCTCTCATTCTGAACCTATTTTATTTAAAATGGTAGCACATATGTTCGATTTCATGTTCCTTAAGAAACTAGGTAAGTTTACCATTATATCATTATTTAGTTTTCTCTCGAAGTCAAATTTTTAATAAATGAACATGAATTAATTTATTTTGATTAAGTAATTTGACAAATGAATATGAATTAATTACTTTATTTTCCTATGTTGGTCAAATACACACTTTCAAGGCTAATAACTCTCAAGAGTAAAATAAGAAGAATAGTGTCATTTATGCGTTGATTTTGTGAAAAGACAAGTATTAAGTAACATATATTTTTAGTAAGGACGACATGTAATTAGTACTGCCTCCGTCCACTTTTAATTGTCATAGTTTCCTTTTTTTTTTTATAGTCAAATGATAATAACTTTGACTAACATTTTACGATGTATTTTTTCATCATATTGATATACAAAAAATTGGAATTTATAGTACTTTTCGTATTGTTTTTTAATATCTAATTTTTTTTAAAAAAAATATCAAATTAATGTAATCTAATTTAACTTTAAAAATTAGTCAAATTGACTTTGAAAAATGCAAAATGACAATTAAAAGTGGTCAGAGTATTATTTTTTATCAAATTGCACCTACTTGGACTAGTTTACAAAATGACTTGCTATACAACCGTAATCATAAGTACCAGATAATAAAATGTTTCAAATTTCAGATATCTCGACAGCCACAAGTACAAGTATCAGATTTTGATATTTTGGGTTCTAATTTAGAACATATTTCTCCAAGATGGAGAGGACAAAAGAAGACTTGAAAACAACACAAAATTACTGTTGCTCCATCAATTAGTAGTTTCAACTTTCAGTTTCACACATTGTTAGATCCTTATCTCCAGTGGACTGCAGATAATTCATTCTAAGGTTTTTTGGGAAAATATATGATTCAAGTTAGCAAAATCTTTCATGGGTCACCATTTCAATTGAGGCTTCTTCAAATATTTTTCTATGTAACCAAAATGAACAATGAAAAACAGAATTTACAAATCCTGTTTTTGTACATCAAGCAACTGCGCAAAGGTGAAATTAAAGAACCTAGAGACTGTAATCTATACAACAGGATTTGGGATAAGTTGACGTTTTCATCGTTTCACAAGAGATATTCTACCCTTGAAAAGCACATTGCGATGTTGGCTGTACAAGCTCCCAACTCCTTTTCTTCCTGCATATTCTAGTTCAATACTTTCAGTGAGAAGCAGTATTATGTGAATCAAACTTGAATACATTGGAAAATAAGAAGAAGAAGAAGAAGAAAAGAACTTGAATACTCAACATTTCATGTGTAGATTAAGCACCCAATTGCTTCGCAGCACCATGGAAACGGTGCATGAGTACTACTGCTAGCAACTATGCTAGAGTAGTTACTAAAATAGGTCTAAAAAGGTTAAGAAACAAACAACTTGCTTGAACCATGCTAAGAAGTGGCAGTTCCATCAGGGTCTTGCTAATCGTGAAAAATGAAGTTTCAGTATAAGTGATTAGGCGAGAAATTGGATTATCGATCGCGAGCTGAAACAAATTGAACACCTTAAGGATCATCACTCTTTAAAGAAGTAGGTAATAATGATGTTACCAATTCTAACAAAAAAAATATAGGTAATAATGATTTTAGCATTGCAAATTTTGAACAAACAAAACATTCTAACAGTCAACCAAAGTTAATAAAACATTGATGTTTATTGAACTCCCTCCTTCAACCTCCCACCCTGACACAACAAAGCATAGAAATATGCAAAGATGTTTTACGATGAAAAAGAACATAGATGCAGCATCTTATCCATGGAATGAAATTTTTAGTTAGCTACAACTTAGAAGAACTTTGGGTGAAACAACATGTTGTAGTTAATCAAAGGAAGTACTACCTAATACCAACTTAGTTGATAAAGTCCTACTAGTCTTTAAAACTTAATAACGATATCAGTTTTCTTAGGCTGACAGAGCTCTATAACTGATAAAAAGACAACCAAGCCTTTTATAGGCCAATCACTGACTCATACAAAGAAGAAAAAACCAATAAACAGATCACAATGTTACAGGAAAGAGGGGAGATTGGGGTGCCCTATACTCCAAGATAAATTAGGCAGCATAAACTGGTAACATACCAAGTGATCATTATGCTTATTGGCTAAAAATGGCCTCAACTCTATCCAGCGATGCTTGTAATCGTCCAGAGTTCATATTGAACAATGGTTCACCAGTGCCCACTCCCCTGCAAATGGAAAATCCAAAACCCAGACCATCAATCTCTAGAGCGGCACACACCATCAAGTTTAAGTCACTTTTAATTTCAAAGCACCATGGGTACAAAGTTTAGTGATTTCTTACAAAGAAAAAGGCATATCAAGATGAAAAAGCTTACCCAGTAATTTCAGGAAGAACATAGTCTGCTCTCCACCCAAAACGAAAATCCACACCAGGACATAATCCAACTGACGTCTTATTCCGGATCCTGGAGACACCATCTCCACCCAAACAAGTCGTAAGCTTCCATTTCCAACCAGTTGCTTGCAACTGAAAATTGTGTCCTATCCCTACCTGATAAAACTCGATGTTAGAACCAACAAAATTTGGACAGATAATGGCAAACAAATTAGTTGGAGGAAGAGAAAAGAAAGGCAAACCTGAAGATTCAGAAATTTTGTAACTGGGATCTTCTTTGATAGAAGGCGCACTTCATGATGCAATGGCTCACATATGAGCTTCCATCGACGTTCGGGAGCTAAAGGCTTCAAAACCAATTTTGCTAGATATTCATTGCTTGGATTGTTGTAAAACTGGTGAAGATGGTGTCCAAATGTTCAGATAACTAGTGAAAACTGAAAATGCTAATATTGACACTAGTTTTAATGCCGTGAGAACTATCTCATCTATGGTGATTCCATAATTAACCACAGTGCTGATGCAGAAAATTCACATGCAGAATTTACATTTCACAATTGTGATCGTTTTTACCATTCATCCCGAGGAATAAGGCACTGCTCTAATGGTAGAACCCTTCACCTTCAACTATGAGCCTAGGGGTTCATGTAACCAAGCAGAGCAGTGAGAGAAACCACTGCTGACCCCTAAAGTTTCAGAGGGATGATATCTATATATTTTTTTAACTATAGAGTCCCGGCCAGCTTGAGCGCGCCTCAACTAATTCTACGGGATACCTGACACCTCCACCACCACCAAGTACCAGGTAACTCTGTCCACCAAGGCTAGAACTAATAAGAAGAAATCACCTAATGTTTTTGTATCTATGGGGATTTGAATCTTAGACCTCCTGGTTCTCTTCATTGACCACTAGGCCACACCCTCGGATGCAAAGGGACGGTATCTATTGAAAAGAAAAGAACACATATACTATTTGCGTGTGATCTATACTCTACTGTCACCTCAGTGGTTTAAGATTAGTGGATTTTTTTCATTAAAAATACTAAAGAAGAAGAATTCCCAATGCTGTATAGAAACAATCAAGCCAGCTATCACAAAATTATATTCCTTA